TACCCCATACCTCTGTAGTATCACTTGTTCCTCCAAATACTATTTTCTTTGCCTTTGTGGATGTTGTGTACAGAAGACCGAAATTTTCACTCGCTGAAGTCCAAACAGTTAGGACTGCAGTCACAAAATTACTCGGTGTGCATAATACTGTTTCGAAAGCGGTTATGACTGGTCAATGAGTCTGAGAAAAGTCTTATTCTTATCATGAAGCGCTGCATCTGGTACCGCGAAACATTCGTGGTAAGGTTTGCACCGTGGGACTGGAGGAGTTAATTACTCGTCTTTATCCTGCATATTCCTCTGATTGTATTTTTCGAAGTAATCAGCACTTCGAGGTTAGCATTAGGCAGTCATATACTAAATGCGCATTTGAACAAAAAATAAATGGAAGTAGAGTTGCTAAAGTTGAAATTAACAGCAAGCGTTTTTCTCATTGGAAAAAGATTGCATTGTAGCTTACAATAGGGATTGTTTCAACAAATAAGATAGTCCAAGAAGTAGCCTGCAGTTTCTCAATGTCTTACTCCATATTTTTCAATAACCTACTTGGTTACCTTACAGGCTCAGTCTAGAAGAATTATTTCCGGTGTCTTTTGATTCAGTATGTATTCTCATTCTTCAAGGTAACTAAATAACTGCTTTCTTTTATTTTTTTGACGCGCATAACCTTCCACACAATTATCTTCCTTCCTAGTTACCTACCTTACAAACTACACGGATATACTGTGTGCACTTTAGGTTAACTACATTAAAGAAAGCTGATAAAATAGTGTCTCACTACAGGATTCGACTAGAACATCTTAGAATAAACGTCAGATCGAATAGGGCCTCAATTACTCACCCCTGCTGCCTCACTATGGCTTATGAAGTAAATGCGATTTTTCAAGTCGTTCGTATCCACATAGATTACAGAGTTATAGACGTGGGCGAGTGTTTTGTGTACATGCTCCAGACAGTGGTTCAAAATTTTTTAAATGGGAGAGCAAGAGGATAAAATCCTGAATTTTTTTTGGAATTCATTTAAGAGGTATTAAATGTGGTGCAATACCATGAGGGTCCTCCAGCACTTAGTAATCGTCCTGGATATTTTAATGTACCTCGCCGCATTGGTCGCTAGACCTGCTGTAAATTGTCATCTAACAAAGCAATTTTCATTGAACTGCCTCTGCTATTATTGGCACTAAACTAAACTTGCGTGAACCCGAATTCAAATGCTTTATAGTTACTTTTGCTGTTGTAACTTAGCTAAAACGGTTTCCAAAGCAGAAATTGCAGGTGAGTAGTTCAGGTGGTTCATTCCCGATACACGTCGGCTATAGTAGAATATGAAATGGGTGTCATTTCTGTACTGTGATATCATATTTTAGCTGATGGTGGCAACGACACCATCGCACCCTTCTACACTTCCAAAATTTACCTTATATTTTTACTCATATACTTGCTAACTGTCAATAAATGGCCATTTATCGTTTTTTACTTGCTTTTTTGCGTTTGATTCTTACTAAAATGCTTTCTGAGTAAACTATTGATATTAGCCATATGCTTGGATGAATGTAGCTAGCTTTCTGACGTGGTACGCCTTTTTTAATCCGTTTGCATCCACTGGAACATTTATTATAGCAATTGCGCATTTGATGTGTTATTTCTTTTCCCAAGTTTGCACGTTTGGCTCGGTCGATCAAATCCTGTGAAGGCTTTGGAGATCGAGCGTTGTCTGCTGCTCCGGCCAACGAAGATGAATCCGAAGATATTTGTTGACCGAAATGAGTGGGAAAGAAATCATGATTTCCACTTTTATGTAATGCTGCAGCTGTCGTCCGTAATCATATTTTTCTTGCATTCCTCTATATATGTGACTCTGTAGATTTCGCTCTTTTTCGGTTACACTAATAAATGCCTTCTGGGGCGAAAGGTGAGGGAGTGAGGCCCCCGGGTCGCACTATCATCTACCTGCGAGTGGCTTTGCGGTCAGAAGGGCGGCACCGGCTAGGGTCCTGCTTGCTGGGCTTTCGCTGAAGATGGACATTCCCAAATTGGTGTAAAGACACCGTCAGAGAGTATATAGCCTGGGTGGGTGCAGGGATCTGGTTAAGGCGTCCGGGAGGGGTTTGCCATTCTCAGCAACAAGAGCTTCCTTCTAGTTTTCTGATCACTAGTTCTAGACTCACTCGGGTTCTGTTTAGATAAACAACATTTAGGTGCGTTAAATGGAGCCCAATAATGGTTTTAAACCCATCGCATTACTGTGTAAAAAGTCTAACCTGTTGTCATTAATGTTTTCATAGGCATAAAACACCACATTTTGAACCGAAAATTGATGCGTATATTACCTTCCGTTGTAAAAATGGTAAAGAAATAAGTCATTTTTTTTTCACGTATTAAAAAAGTCAGTTAAAATAGGCAACCGAAAATCCGCTGCTTTCGAGATGCGTGTCTATTTACCGTAGATCTTAAGGTTTCGATGTCCTCATCTGAATCTGTCTTTCAGTCATCGCAAAAAAGCTGTAGTAGTCTCGGCACATCTTTGACGGAAAGACGAATTCAGCGTTTTCGAGACTGGAGATCGCCTAATTCTCAAATTTGGAACCATGCAATAGACGCATGGAACCAAAGTCTTAAAAACGATACAAATCATATCGCATCTACAAATGGGAATGGTGGTTCTCACGCATGACTTGTTTATTTTTAGACTCTCCCAACGTCGCAGATCCTTTGGGGTAAATTTACTCGACTATTTCATTTTCAAGTATAGGGGAAAATTAATGAACGTCCTGACCTCACTTACTTCATTAAAGAACTTCGCAAGTTGACTTTATTTACCGTTTATTGTATAGACCCTTCTTCGTGGTCGTGAACAATCTTCTGCAAGTGGGTTTTACTCATACAATACCATTATTTACCGTGTTTTATGCGACCATTTCCAAATATGGCTAAGTGAATCCAACTGGTCTTTTATTACCTGTTTGGCTGTACTTAAGTTAACTTCTTTAAGGTTATGTAAAACAGAGTCTCAAAAATCTTGCTGAGGTTACGGAGAAGTTGTTTCACGCTGCGTCGAGTCTTCAAAATCAGTTTGAATCAAATGGAAAACGTTACACTGAAAATGAGTCGAATTCGCCTAGCTTCCTGAATGAGGTAGATTATTTAACTTTTTTTTTGTTTTTGTTTTATGTGCAAAAAGTAGGTATGTGGCCTACGAGAATTAGTTTGGTTAAATTCCGATTGTACTTATCTACGCTCTAGATGCACTCCGAAGCGGCAAATCATTTGCAAACGTTTACTTTTACTTTTTTGAAATCTTTTGGAGGTGAACGTGAGGAAGGAGTCGATGGAGAATCTTCTCGAAACTATAAAATCACTTCAAGACGAAATTCAAAAGTTGCCAGAGTTGATTGAGATGTAAGTTGCATTACTTTTTGTGATTATGCAGGTCGTGATAATGAAATGTGGGGTGTGTTCTTGTTACACGGGGACTTAAATTTACGCTTTTCATAAGGGACGCCGCAGCATCGGCACAATGTGCAATAGCAAGTCCCAAATGTATTTTAAGCGTATCACCAATGGCTGCCGCACATTCCAGCTGATACATCGTTAACTACGATGTGGCAGAGGGTAACAGTTTTGGTACTTGCAGGCGATGGGTTGTGATTCTGATATTCATCAGGAATAAATACGTGCATTCCACAGGAGATTTTAAGTTCATTTCGTGCAGTGATGGACCATTTAGTTGTTCAGCAGTAAGCCAATTGGATGGTTTGGACGTGAACCTCTCAAAGGCTCTCGTGAGTCCATACACTAGCAACATGATAGCTCCCCTCGGGTCCACGATCTCGATAGTTGCCCGTCGTTGTGGACATTGGTGCGTGGAACTTCTAATCGACGCATCACCATGGAAAGGCCAAATGCGATTCCAATTCTTTAGAATTTGTTCTTTACGTGTGTGCTCGATTGCCCTGGTTACAATCGATTCCAATTTGAATCACCTACTCTAAAATCGTATGCTTTTTGCGTTTAGTAAATCGTCCTTTTGGTAAAACACCAGCGTTCACTGGACTTATGTTAATGCAGCTCTTGTCCTCCTTTCAGTTCAAAGAGAAAATTCCAGGAAGAAATGACTCGATTTTACGAAGATCATCTTGAAAAAGCGCTCTCAAGCACTATCGAGACTTGCTTGTAAGTTTGGCATAACTCATTTCCACATCATTTCTCCTTGTGTATTTTAGAGCCATTTCTAAGGAGAAAATCGATGAGCTCACTTCTTTTGTTATCGAGGATCTATCGGGGCTGTAACATCGGCAGTAGATTTGTGCTGATTTTACTACCTTCTAGTTTTGTTGGTCACGTTTTTACTTTTTTTAGGAATATATTTTGCATCCTTCTTTGAGTGCTACTCTTGCTGGTTTCCATCGTTTTTTGAGTACTCAGTACAACCCACATAGCTAAAAACGTTTTAGTAAGGCCATACCTGATGTGATAAGGTAATATGAATTTGAGGGAAGCTTATCGAGGATGTTTACCAATGTCAAAAAGATTAGGGCTTTACGTTTTACCTTTAATTGTAAAATCGCAGTGGAACTTCTGAAGTAAGTCATATTTTCGTCAAACTGTGAGCTCGCTCGTTATCGATTTTTCGTTAGGAGTCTGTGGTGAAAGAAAATCGATTAGATTAAGTGGTCGTGACATCGGCTCCAGTGCCCTGTAGATTCCCCACCGCATGTTCATCCGAGGGCGATTCATCATCTTGATGATGTTAGAGAATAGTCTACTATAGTGCGATGTAGGTTTAAAGTAGACAAATTTGTGTCTTTACTTAATGTGATACAACCAATACTCAATGATAAAATATTACAAATAATTGTTTGTCCACCATTTCTCTGGTCTCCTGTCAGTAAGAGCAACTTTTTTATCCTGCATTTCGAATTAGACGTTACTTGGGTAGTACACGTGGTAGTATTGATTTGGACAGTGCCATGTGCGTACTGTCAGAGGCTGCTGGGCTCTCCTTCTTAGTAAAGTATTTTTAACATGCCACTGGAATTGGGCAAAAAAGTTGTCATCTCCAAGCATTCTCCCATGCTTAAACGTCAGGGTATGGGTTGTGCCGATTCCGCCAGTGGTGATCGAAATGAGCAGCAAATGCTATTTCCCAAATTACATGGAAGTGAACGAATTTCACCTTCCACACAAGCTGACTCTATCAGTTTTCAATGCCGTTTGCTAAAGCAGAAAAATAAAGAGCGAAACTTACTAGAACAGCAGCCAAACGCTTCATTTGTGGTAGAAACAAAGGAAGAGCTTAATCAGAATAGGGGAATTTTGAGTCAAGAGGGAATTTTGAGACGAATGAGGGCGGAAAAAACACTTGACCAGATTATTCGCAGCACAAAACCTAGCTTTTGTCGTGCTCGACCTTCCACTTCATCGGAGAAAGCAGACAATGAGGATAGAAACATTTCGAATGTAGAAAATTTTGAAGGATACTTATCTGATCCAAAATTCGGCGGTGAAACAAATGACAGGTCTGTCGGCTCCCCAAATTCTAGCAAGGAACAGCCCATTCAAGAAGTTGCCCCCCTGAACTCCACTGGTGAATTCCAGGATAAATCTAACGACTCTTCTATGGATAATCAAGAACCAAATTTTGACGGCGAAAGGGTATTCAGGAAGTATCGCGATGGCTCTGCCATTAAGTTCCAAGCCACAACGGAATACATAGAACTACCGCTCAGCAAAGAGAAGGCACGAGTCCCATTGAAGAAGATCCTCCCAGTGAAACACCTTCCCACTGACCCACTGACTAAACTTAGAAAAGAAAAATGTCTCTTTTCTGTCGGTTTTAAGGTAACAGATCGAACAGACAGCAATAAGACACTGAATGATAATGAACAAATACATGTAACCGCTCTGATTCGTCTCTGCGAAGCCTACACCAAGAACCTCGGTTCAAATTATCTCCGTGCTTTGGCAAAGGAAAGCGTCATCCCTCTGAGTTCATCTTATGTAGATGGAAACAAACATTTAGAGTGGCATGGAGGTGCAAAGATTGTTGAAGATGCGACCGAGCGTTTATGGAACTGGGAGAAGTCTCTCATCAACAGCAACCTTCTTCGAGACTATCAGGGTCGACCAGTATTCAACAAAGACCTCGACATTCGTCATATCTCGGAGTCACCAGATATTTATCAGGTGTCCCTCGGACCCAACGAATACGACGCGAAGTCGGATTTGGGTGCCCTTCTGATAAGGGATTCAGACTCTTCTACTGACGTGGAATTTGATGAGGTGGATTTCATAATTGGGCACTCTGCTCACCCCTTCACCGATTCCATCATCCTAGCTGGAGGCCTGCATCCTTCAAAAGCGCGCGACCGATATTTGATGCGACAGAAGGCGAACAAGGATGCATCACAATCCACTGGTGTAATGCATTCTCAAATTAATTCCATTCAAGATGAAAATGCCGGTTAGTACTTTTTTTCAAAGTGGTTCATCAACTTAATTTAACGTTTTTTAGCCGAAGATATGAATGAAGAAACTATAAAAGAAGGCGGTGAAAATCCGGAAGGGTTACAAGCAGTCTCACCACTTTCGGTAGGGGCAGAGGCAGAGGGTGTCTTGAAGACACCCACGGAGACGACATTCACCTCAATGGAACCGACGTCAACCACAGCCACTAGTGCTTCGCTTCCAGAAGGAGGACCTGGAGAGAGGCAGAAGGCTCCCGTCACCGCTACCACCTCTTTGAAAGCATTGGCACCTCAGAAACATCGGAGAGGAAATGACGCAACCCAATCTAAGGCAGAGTCCAAGAGACAAGATCGGACACGATTTACTCGGCGAAATCGCGGCGATAAGCGAGCGCGTGATCCTATTGAAATGCCAAATGAATTTCCAGTAGATAACCTGCGATTCGGCTTTGAAAATGTCGCTGTTGATTGGTGCGAGGTAGACGAGCTTGTCGGTAAAATTTTGATCAATTAACTTTCGCTTGATGGCATCTACTAGGTTCAATCGCATATTTTTAAAATTCATTTTGTACACTTAAAATGAAAAGAAGCCGTTTTAGGTTGTAAAGTATAAAACCTAGTTGATTCAACCAGTTGATTATGCTCTTATCCGTTGATCATTTATTATGAACTTGAAACAAATGTCGCTCCACAAAAAGCTGGATTCATCTTGAAGCAAAACTTCACTTTAAGTAGATTATAGATACTAGCCGCTTTGACAAATCCTTTAAATTGCCAAAATGGACCCATTTTCCAAAACTCTCCGTCAGTATCCACCGTAAAGCCACCTTAATTTTCGCGTACGGTTAAAAGCATTGATCATTCTTCATTATTCTTAAATTCGTACAACAAAACCGATCCATCCCATAGCCTTTTTGACTTTGCTAATTTTTGCTCGAAATATCAAGAGACAAAATAATTCCGTATGGTTTTCGGTATAGTTTCCTGCAACAACTTATTGTGAAATAGCTTCTAGGGGCTTGTCAAGTGCATGGGATTGAAATGTTATGAAGCACAACGTACCGCTAGTTATCCTTTATTGCCCTCCTTGCTATTTCCCTCCTACATTGAGCTCTCTCATAGTAGTGCCGTTTAAACCGAATAAACGTAATTCGGACTTGTTTCCTTTACGAATTTGGCTTAATCTTGCTGACATTTCCCACGAAATTTGTTGTGCAGCGTTTGGAGAAGGTGCGGTAGGCGAAAGTACCATCCGGAGGTAAATTTTAATAACTCGTTCTCGA